AGTAGACGGAGGGGTGGCTGAGGGAGAGGGAAAGGGTGTGGAGGGTGGAGGGAGAAGAGAGACGCGGTCTCGCCGGGAAAAGTTCGCCCTCCTCCGCCTGCGGGAAGCAATTTCTTAGCGTAACCTTATCACCGCTCTCGTAGGTAGGTGCGACGTGACGTCGCGTATTCGATAAAGGCATACTACTCGCGACTGTCGCGCGCAGCGCGTGCCGAACGCGCGCGCGATAAAGAGAAAGTTCCAAGTTTCCGCGGAAAAACAAGCCGGAATGCTAAAAGCGGTAAAAGCTCCCTCCCCGCCTCCTCCTTCGTCATTGACCTTCGACCAAGTTTCGTACACGTTTCCCTCGCGTTCTCTCGCGACCCTCTTACATACACATCTGCGTAGTAAACCCCAGTTTATTTTCCGTATTACCGGGCCCGTCCTTCGCGAGGTTTGTTTTCAGGTAATTGAGTAATCGATAATTCCTCCCCCGCCCTCCCCCTCCTCGCTAATGATAGTACCTCGGCGTATCGTATAATTGCGGTTAAATGGCGATAAATCATCTCTTTGTGAAAAATATACGGTCGGGTGGTATCTACGTGGTGTCGATGATATTGATGATGAATTAACGAGATTGCGGATGGAGTTGGATATGGTAAACAAGCGCGCCGTCAATAATTGATGACAAACGATTACCGGATCCCGAGATCCTTCTTTTTTTTTTTTTTTTTTTAACGCGAGCGCTTTCAAGAACGCATGTACGCGCGTGCGAATACGGCTATGCGCTCGTTCGGACACGGCTGTTAAATAATCGATTCGCCGAGCACTTCGACGGATGGCGCAACATCGGCGTTACCGCACTCGAGTGTACACAGAGGCGTCGTCCCGTTACCGGTAAATCGAACGGCCAAAACGCAGCAGTCGCGTATCGTTTCGCCGGCCGTACCCCTCGAGAGATGGCACAATGGCGTTCCGGTGGCCTTTTAGCGAATGAAAGCCGCCCCGGTCCTCACCTCCATCCCGGCAGACCGCGACGGTCTCGGTTTCAAATCGCATCGATCTGCCCGCTGCGGACTAGGTTTACGGGACAGCGGTTCTCAAGCACGCGTGCACGCGGCATATTTGGCATTGCGCGACGCATTCTGAAGGAACGAACGTCCGCGTTTCTGTCCTGCGTTTTTCCCAGTGGCGGAAATAGTTCCAATCGCAAGCTTGGGAAAATATAAAATATTCCAAGACTTCCGCATTCCTTTACCGTCTATACGAGAGCGTTGTGGTGATATATTATTTTCTTCAACTATTTCGACTAAATTAAAAAAAGGAAAAGAATATATTTTTTTTTAATCTCAAATTGTTAATAAGCCTTCGACGAAATTATAGATTTATTCGCAAATTCTTCGTGGAACGCAACGAAACCGACCATAGAAGATAGGGGTTAGTCATTCCTGCGTTATTTACATGTGCACATAACTATATAGCTAATGTAATATGCGAATATGTAACTACACGCCTGTCTGTTTGCGGAGAGAACTTTGTGTTACATATAATACACGTATTTCCCTTGATGTACGTTCTGTTGCACATATGCGCATTTTCGATATTCGAGCGAATATGTAGAATCCGCGAAATAGCTATTAAATACACTCCATCGAATTAATCATCCTAACGGCCACACTATTATCAAACAAATATGATGAGAAATATTGATATTAATTTAGTGTTTATTTAGTGAATTTGATCTTAATATAAAGAAAATCTCAGAAAAAATATGTATCTTAGAAAAAAGGATATAAAAAATTGTTCTTTTAACATTAAAAAATAAATAGGACAATCTATGTAAATTATTGCAATTTGTTTTCCAGAAATTATTATTGATAGTGGCAATATTCTTTTTTGCGATTTGTTAGTAAAAGCCATTAGTAGCCAATCGGATTTTATCTGAAACAATATGTTTTATTTTATATAAATCTGTTCTGCTCGTTATTCTGTACATGTAAATGTTAAAAGTTATCAAACAATTGTATAATAAATATTATAATTCATAAAATATTTCATACTTTAATTTATATCATCTATTAAATTTCTATAAAAGTAGTAAATTTAATAATTTTAATTTACGGTAATTAGGATATATTTTCCTCACCAAAAAGCGCAAATCTGAAAAAAATTTGTTTGTTAATTCTTGTTAATTTCCAAGAAGATAAATTACTTTTTCCTTGAACTATTCTATGATGCATTAAGATTCCTGGAAAATAGAGAAATAATAAATTGATTTTTAATGAATTGACTTTTTATTGAAAAGATGTAATAAATTTTACAGAAATCCCTTTATAGAATTTCTTATTAGTATTTACAACGTGCTATGTAATCAGCCACATTTTGCTGATAAACACGTCGAGCGCAATATTATATAGTTAGAAGATGTGCAGGTAGTTTCAATATTAATATAAACATGATGTTTACTTCATAGATATACATAGTGCATGACGTATAATCAATGCCTGCGTAGCAAGTAGCCAATTTCGAGCTTTATATCGCTGCAAATGTAATAGCTATCTTACAAATATTACGTAAGTGGACTTGTCCATACGTCGCTTCACAAAAAAATATAAAATGCAAAAGTTTATATAAAACGACTGATTCGACGAAATATTTGAATAGAAACTTATTAGACATTTAGAAAAATATTGTTTATATAATTTCTTCATTATGTCTTTTTTACGCAAAAAAAATTTTAATATATTGATTGATATATAAAAATTTAAGTATATTGAGCGCATAAAAATGAGATGAAAAAGAGAGAAACGGTAGATAGAAGGAGAAACGAAGAATTTCAACGAATGTGAAGTAAGAGTGTAATTAAGGAACGGAAGCTGATTATTTAAATCAGGTAAAGTGAACCTTGCTCTAATTGAAATTGAATCTGGGAGTTAATTATAAGGATGCTCTCGGAAATTAAGAAGAAAAATCGATGGTCAATCAATCTTCGATGGTTTGAATAATTAATGCTTCTTCACTGCAACGTATTTGTTTGATATTTGATGATTTTATATAACAAAAAAGTGCTGATTGTCTATAATATATTAATAATAAAATATGAAGTATGCCTTTCTAAGAACAGCTGTGTATGTGTGTGCATACGCTTCTTGTTAAAGAATTCGAAAATTTATAAAAATTCTTAACTGATCAAAGAATGAAGAAAGTATAAGTATTGAATAGTCTCAGCATTTTTTGCACAAGTTATATATCACAAATCTCTGACAAGAGTTATCAACGATAACGAAAGTAGACATGATAACAAGACTACTACAGTAACGAGTATAGTCCAATTGTAGTAGTTCGAGTGAGTTCGAGGGGAAAGATGCGCGGGGAAAGAATCTAAGGAAACGAAAAAGAGTCTTATTCGAATATAATACAATTCGCGGAAGAAGGGGGGGGGGTATCCCGACTATGATGAGCAATTTCGTATTTGGAGAGCCTGAAGATGCTGCCTGGAAGCGGGTTGCGCCCACTTGGGATTATCTCGGCAGTGACTACGAAAAATAAGGCGCGGCGAGGTGAGCTCGGAAATACCAAGTAGACTGTGTCAATATCTGCGTATGCGATGCACGTATATCGCCGCGGGAAAACGAGTGCCGGCGGTAACATCGGTAGCGAGCGAGAAATTTTCCAGTGTGTTATGTTTTACTAAGGATTGTTTGTATTTTATTCAAATATATATACGCGTGTATACGTGTACAACGTTGCGCGCGCGTACGAAATGCAGAAGAGGAGGAAAGGGATGCAATCCCGGAGTATGAGTCGCCACCGAGAATTCTGATATTTCATCTCGTTTGCGATACCGTCCTCATTCTATGAATGATGCTTTTATAATTTTCCGCAACCGAGTTGAACATCAACGGAAATTTCGACAAAGGTACCACCTTTTAGAGAGATCTGAGTAAGGAACGGGGAATAGTTTTCAGTACCGCAAAAGCTCCTCGTGAAAATGTCGTATACATGCAATTTTGTTTCCGTTTATTCGATATAATTCGCAGCTTCTCGAAAATCACGCGACGCACAATTAAATTCGTATCCGGAAATTTTCAGCTAAAAACCGTTGCTAAAAACCGTTGCCATATTTTATCGCGATTTATGGCTGTTTTCTTCGATCGAATCTCTCGAACGATTATGAGATTATAATTATTCGCGCGGGATAACGAGGTGAATTAAACGTCGTTAAGAGGCGCGGACGTGCCTCGCGCGGGAATGGCGAAAAATGTATCTTTAAGAGCCGTGTTATCCACAATGTTGCGGGACGCGGCGCGAAACACGCGTGTTATCGTAATCGTTTTGGCGGCGATAACGCAATTTCATGCTACGCGAGGCCACACGCGCGTCCCGTGTAATTGAGCCATGTCGCCAGTCGTTTGAAAGGCACCATTCCATTTCGGCTCGCATTCCCATTGGATTATTTTTCGGAACAACACGTCGCTGAACGTCGCGTGTCGGATTATCTAAATTTGTGATTTCGCCAGGAAGTCCACGCTTCGTTTTGCGAAAGCGTATCGGTGAATTCTGTGCGCGCGCATTATCAATGAAGTGGAAATCGTCGATTTCGTTTATTTCGTTTTTTTTTTTTTTTTTTTTTTAGTATATGCCTAACTTTAGATATATAATGTTTAACTCATAGCATTTTCCACGATACACAAATCGATTTCAAGTTAAATGATAAATGCGAAATAAGTTGTGGAGATAATTCGCAGAAATATTCGTAAATTCTCACGAATGGGAATATTTCGTGTTTTTGAGAAACGATGTATCGTAATTGCTTAATGCCGGTATTAACGAAAAGCTACTGCTCAAAAGACTGGATAAGTACAGAATGACGCTGTAATCTTCGTTTGGAAAATCAATATTATCATAGCGTGCGTTTGTAGCAAAGCGGTATATTCCAAGTTTCAAAGGGATGAGGCGCTTCCCGCGATTTAGATTGGCATACCATTAGTATTACGTGTATTATGACTGAAAATACTTACCCTCGATAATGGGATGGCGCGGCTTGTAGGACATGTCTGAAAAGAGAAAAAGGGGTTAGTATTAGCGAAATTAGTTACAAGATACATATATGCACACTTAGCTAATTATTCACAAAGCTAATTATTCGTTGTCTTTACACTTTTACCATTATAATTAAAAGACAGTCATTAAATTATTTTAATTTGGAATTTGTTGTTAGTAAAGATAAGAATAACAGCAGAATGTTTTGATCCCTTCCTTATTTTCTAACTCTCGTGATCCATCAAAATTTTCAATTACAAACGTTATGTTTTTATTAAAAACAAGCTGTTATTTCTCGAATGTATTATAAATTAAAAATAATACAGTCATGAGACATTTTATATATTCTGAAATGATTCGTGCACCGTGGGATGAAACTATATTGCTGGTATAATAAATTTATAAAATAACATTCGCTTCTCGTCACAAAAGTGGCAGAAACCTTCTATCTAGCCGTTTAAAA